ACTCTGAAAGAAAAATGTCCCAAAGCTCTGAAGAACAATCTCAGGAAGTTTCTCTTGTGCATTTAAGATCTTTTATTATTTATTTAAGAAGAAGAAATTTTTATCTCAGGGGGAGATTCTCAGTCTTGTACAAAAAAAATTTAAAATCAAAATTTGAATTGTTTTGTCATCATCAAAAAGGGGAGATTGTTAGAACAAAGTTTGGTTCTAATCATATCTTAGAGTTTTGATGATAACAATAAAATAAATTTTGTATAATATATTTTATACTCTGATGTGCATGTTTTCTAATTCAGATGATGTTCTGACTCAAGCATTCTCAAAAGTGAAACATCATTCTACGCTGAGCAGAAAAAGGATATAGAAATTCCTAAGAAATTATATGTAAACTCAAGTCTGAAGCAAACTCTGAAGGAAGCACTCCAAGGAAAACTCTGATAAAAAGTAATCTTAAGCAACCTCTGATAAAGTTAGCTGAAGAAAAGATTTGAAAGAAGCACGCTGAAAGCAATATCTGATAATACAAGCTGAAGCAAACTCTGATGAACATAAAATGAAGAAAACTCTGACAGAAGAAGTGATGTACAAAACTCTGATAGAAGAAAAGTTAAAGAAAACTCTGATGTTGCAACGCTGCAAGCAAACTCTGATGTTGCAACGCTGCAAGCAAACTCCTAAACTTCCAGAGACAAGCTCTGACTGTACCGTTGATCATTTAATGCTAAGACGGCTAACCACTCAAGTAGTACTACGCACAAGAGCATTGGAAACATAAAGGTCAAGCTAACACGCATCATTAATGCATACTCTTTCTTCAAGGAAGTAAAGGTCAAATGTTGAAGCTATATATAAAAGACCATTTGTTTCAAAGCAAGGTTACTGATCCACGAAAAATATACTAAAGCTCACTATTTTCATTCTTGAAAACTCTTTGTATATAGTGGGTAATTCTTAAGTACTGAGCTAAAATCTTAGTGATAAATCACAATTTGTGATATAGCTATTAGAAGCATTCTGATTCACTACTGTTGTTAATAGATAATCTTTGTAATTGTTCCTTGAGAGACCAGTTGGGTCAGATTTCTCAAAAGGGTTAGGACTAGTTGAGTCTTAGAGGTGTTAGTCACAACAGTTTGGTTGTGCATTGTAATTGTTCCTTGAGAGACCAGTTGGGTCAGATTTCTCAAGAGGGCTAGGACTAGTTAAGTCTTAGAGGTGTTAGTCACTTGCAGTTGACTTGTGCATTGTTTTGTTAGTCACAACAGTGTGGTTGTGCTTTTGTAATCAGTTTTGATTATAGTGGATTAAGTCCTCGTTGAGAGAGGCGAAATAACCTTGGCGGATGGACTGAAGTAGTTTGAGTTTCAAACGAACCAGGATAAAATTACCTGTGTCCTTCTATTATCATTCACGAGAAAAAGGAAAAACTTCTAAGTGTTTTCTCATCCTTCAAAAAGTATTGTGATTACAAGGTAATGTCCAAGGAGTGGGATCCAGGGCCTTCAAATGCACCTCGCAATCAGTAGCAAATGGTTAATAACAATACATAAAGTGATGCACGAGATGAGATATAATCATGAACAAGATTCACCGGAACCAAACTTAAGAAAACCTTAAAAGTCACACGAAGTTTAAAGGAGAATTCAAACAATTTGTTGAATATGATGTGAATACAAACACAAGTTAATTAATTCCTCATTTGGATCATCACAAAGCCATATTTGTCCTTCAAAATTATTGGCAAAAGATTCATTGCGAATTAATCGAAACACAATTGCAAACTTCATGAATACTCAAGAGAATTAAGAAGCAATCTCAAGCGTTTTATGATACTTTTATAATTACGGAAAACATTTAACCACATTTCTAGGGTCCAGGACCTTCCATTTAATCAGCTATCATGTCACAAACATTGAATCATATGAGAAGAATCGGCAAAACTATCACAAAACCTTATTTCCACCATATTTCAACATTATTTCAAAACAATTCCTAAACTTAATAAAAAAATCAAGAGAAAATATCAATGAATCAGGAATTAACATACTAACATCTATACCAAATATCATCAAATAATCATACAAGAATCATCAAAAACTAAATTGCAAAAAATCAAAGAACACAAAATGAAATTAACCACTAAACAAGAAGGTGCAAGGATCCTGAGGGAGTGTGAATAGAAGCCAGCCCAGATGTAATGGCTCGAACCGAACGGCGCCGGTATGAGCTCTTCATCTCCGCCGCTCAATTTCTCTTCTCCGATTTCATGAATCATTGCCGCTCAACCTTGACAATTTGCGGCGCCTCTTCACTGTTCGTCGCGGTATCATCTTCAAACTTTTCCGGTGGGTCTGCTATATAGGACAATTGGAGTGAGGGTAAAAGAGAGATTGTGTGGTTTTGGATAAGAATTGGGAAATAAGTTTGTTTGTTGATGAGTTGTCAATAGCTGCTTCTGATTTTCTGATATTTTCCTCATTCAAACTTTTTTCACGATTTTTGTTTAACTGGAAAAATGAAGTGGGCTTTGTTATTTTGAACTGATATTGCAGCAAAGTCACGGTTTGGTTAGCAAGTTTGGCTTTGGACATGATTCGTTGTTTTTTGGGATTACCTGATTTAATTGCAGGGGCTTGAACAGGCTTAGCATGTGTTAACTGGTTTATTGTTTATGGATTGAAACAGGTGCGGGTTTCGGTACAGTTTTTGTGTAACGGGACATAGTAAGGGATTGTTTTGGCAAGACAAGAAGTATGATGCAAAGCTTAGTGAACGCTTTTGGATGAAGATGAATGTTGGAGTTTTTAGGCATAGGTTTTTTTGTATGTAAATGATAACTTGCAACTTTTGAACTTGTACGGTATTTTGAAATGATGGGCGATGAAATTTATGGATGAAGTTGCAATTTTCTTTGTATGGAATTTGAATGAATCTCGAGGGAACATGCTTGTAGTTTTTGAAAGCTTGAATTTCTTTGATGAAAATATGATTTGAATGAACTTTTAAATCTTGTGGTTGAAATTGAAGGAAGATTTTGAATCTTGAACATATTTAAACTTGAATGGTACAAGAGTAAATCTTGAAATTGAATGACTTGAAAGGAATAAATCTGAGGAATGGTGAATGCCTTGAAACATTTAACTTGTATGCCAAGAAAACCTATGCAAACATTCTTTCAAATTTGCATATTTAAGCAACCTTTGACAACTTGAATAAATTTGAATTTATAAAATCACTTGAACCAATTTTCACTTTAATGAAATCCTAATTCAACTCCTTAGTCCATGTTAACTTGTTAACTTGTATTACAAGCAACACACCAATGCTTTGTGTTATACTCCAATTTTGGCCCTTAAGATCCTATATCACTCCATATCATTCCAATGCACCAAGACCATTAGGGTTGGATTCTCTCTATTACTAGCTCATGTCTTTAAGTTTTCTCTTAAAGGATCTCACCAAGCACCTTGATTTATGTATCTTATATGTGTGTATTTATGGTTATTTATTCTTAACTAACATAAAATATATGTATATATGTCTCCATGAATGTTTGTATTGTAGATGTTGACACAATGGTATCCATCTCACCACCTAACCTAGGGTTGGGAAGGATGATCCTTGGCCAAGTGTTTTTTCCATGGATCTTAAAGGTTTGAGCATTCAAAGCTATGATTATAGCATCAAAGTTCTATGGTTGTAAAACCCTCAATTTCATTAAGACCAAACTTTCCTCAAAGAGAATAATTGGATTCATCAAGAAGATTCATATGTTCATGTGTTTATTTTCATGCCTTCTTCAACAAGCTTCATTGAGATATAGATTACATCATTAAGTGTGCTTCAAAATAACATCATTTCAAGGTCTCTCTGATTCATCATGCCTTGGTTTACAAGGAAGGTTCAAAAGATACAGAGTTGATTCAAGAAGTTTGACCTAATTGGACAAGTCATTGATTCTATGATCACAAGTGCATAATTCTCTCAATTTTCAATATTTTGAGGAGGTTCTTTTTAATATGGACTCTTATCATCATCCAAAACAACTTTTCTTCACATGACAAGGTCCAATTATACAGAGAAATCATCAAAAGTTGAAAGGGGTTACAAGTCACTTTTGTATTTTCTAAGTAAGGGTTACTTGACTTCTAAAGACCATATCTTGCTCAATTTTTTAGATTTTAAATTTATTCCAAATCCATGTTTCTATTCAAGGAGTCCTTAGCATTTTCTCTTTAAGGATCAAAGACTAATTTCGAGAGAATGATCATTTAAGTGTGGAAAAGATTACAAGTCCTTTGGAAAAGCCCTTGACTTCCATGACTTGACTTCAAGGGACCATAACTTGCACTACAACATTTAGGCTCTCCAACAACAATTGAAAAACGTTGCCAGAACTCTGAAAATCGTTGCCTAAAACAATAGGGGACGTTTTCTAGGCGTCTCCTGTGCGAGCGTTGCCTATTGTTTGAGGCGACGTTTTTTTTATGTTTTTTGGAAACGCTTTTGAAAAACGTCGCCTATAGTAAAGGAATAGGGGACAATTATTTACGGCCTCTGAGACAACGTTTTTTAAGCGTTGCGTTGCCAAATTCGGCTACAATTAACAATCGTTGCCTTAAACCTGAATCAGGAAGATCGTTTTTGAAGTGTAGCCATAGCTTATAGGTTGTTGTTTTATAGTGTCCACATAAAATATACAATTTTGCAATTATTATCAAAATAATATAGTCAATAATAATTGGCTTCAAAAATAATATTGATTATATAACTTAAACCATACATCCATAAAAGTTGTAATATAATAAAATCGAGTTCAAACTTTAATTCAAGATATAGTATATAGAGTACACAAAATGCCTAACGTAACAATATTACTTTTAATACTTTGAAGTATGACCCTAGTAAAATAAATAAAAACATAGTTCAGCAAAAGAACAAAAATCATATTTCAAGTTTAATGCTTTCAACTACAAGCCAAAAAAAAGACATCATCCAACTCATTCAAGTTTGTCTTCTAGGAGTAAAGCATCCAGATCGTCCTCTTGAAATTCGTTAGATATGTCATCCTCCATAAATTCTTCATCTACGTCGTCCTCTTGAAATTCACCATCTATATCCTCCTCTTGAAATTCATCATCTAGATCTATGTCGTCCTCTTGAAATTCGTCATCTACGTCGTCCTCTTGAATTTTATCATTTAGGTCGTCCTCTTGAATTTTATCATTTATGTCGTCCTATTATAGACAATATTAGCTACTATTATAGACAATGTTGGCCGATTATATTAAGCAAACGTATTATATAAACAATGTTACATACAATTACTTTTCCAGTTTCTACATCCAGTTCCTTTCCTTTATTTCCTTTTCGAGTTTCAACAAACATTTCTGATTGAGTGGGCTCTCTTTTTTCCTTTTCACGCTGCACAAATCAAAATAATTCCATAACAAATTATGTGAATTAAAATTCCTATTCACGAGTCAAAGAAAAGTTTTTCACGAATACTTTAATTGAACAAAGAAACATTCATACAAGGAATAATTTATTGAGAACAAAAGAAAGTTACCACTTTTTCACGAGTCAAAGCAAAGTTTTTGGGACCCATTCGATGCATCCACTTTAGTTGAGCTCTATTTCTAGTGTTATTTTCACTGATTGCCTACATTTAAATTTGAAAGAATTATTATAATAAATATTACTTAATTATGGCATACATAGAAAGGTGTAAATTCACACACATACATAAAAAAATTATTAATCTTACTTGTATAGTTTCCTTACTCCAATAAGCACAAAGACTCTTAAACTGGGCTATTGGCACGTTTGTCGTCTTGACAGATAAATTCCTCTAAGTAGAAATGTTTTCCATATTTCACTAAACATAATATCTTATCATAAAACACAATGAAAATATCCTATTACATACCAGCAGTCACCAAGCATACCCAAGACTGCTCCAAGTTGTGAACATAACTCTGAAGTGTTACCAACTTTTTCAATCTGACTACGAACGTCTTCTGCACATAGGCTGAGTCTTGATTTGGAACTTTCTAAATTCTGAGCACGGAATGCCTGTTTTTGAATTTCATATGGTAAAATGCTCATTATCAAGTGGCCAGAAAAAGTATAACATAAACAAAGTAAAACAAAAAGCATGAGCTTTGCAGAGCTAACGTTCCCATCAACAATGCCATACCCAGATAAACATTTTATAGCTTACATAAAAACATTTTGACTTCATTTTAATTTTTGTTATAGAAATCGTTTTTAAACAAGCACTTAAATGATAAGCTCTTATAGCATAGTCACTTAATTAAGACTTGTGACCGTTTACATTGTGGATGATAATAGTTATTAATTATGACAAAAAAAATCAAGGATCATTCATTCTTTCTCAATTTAATCCTTCATATACAAGACTTCATCCACATTTACATTTGAAAAGGACATACTTACCCTCATGGCCTGTTGCACTAAGAAAGAACCTCTTTCCAAAGACACGTCTTCGTATATGACAGGCTTATTATTTTCTGCTGCTTCTTCACCTTTGTCTAAATTAACAGACCTTTTGATCCTAGCATGACCTTCAATAAAGCGATCGACTACACCTTGAAGATTGTCATCGGGCTCAATCTTCACAATATCAGCTCCACATAACGGACAGTCCTCAAAACGCGATATACATGCTCTAACATCATACACACATCAAATCAGAAACCATCCAAAAACAATGTATGCAATGATAAGAAATAAACACGGGCCGTGATACATACTTGCAGAAAATATGCGAACAAGGCACACATTTGCTCACAGTAAAATCGTAAAACAATTATGCTGTCCAATTATATATCCTGTCCAATTTAAAGGAGAGTTCTCTTGTGGCTAATACATACACAACTATGTTGTCCAAACTAAAAAACACCAAACCGTAAAACACCGTACAACAACACACATATACATGAACACCTTAACAGTGACAATTCAAAAGAAACTAAGCTAACATTGCGCAAACCGCATCATGCACGTAATAAAGTATCAACCAAAACAGAATGCAAGTAAATTGTGTGAAAACCACATGTGAAATGTACACAATTATGAGTTACAAAGATCAAATGAAATGAAGACAAATCAAATGATGTACCAACATGATCAGAAATAGACACTGACTTCTTCCTTTTTGACAAAACTTATTTCGGCTCTACAATTCTATCCTCATACACATACCTTCCATTATTGTCAAGAAACTAATAGAAACCATTCTCATCAGGAAAATACCTCATTAGCTTGATAGTAGATTTTCAACAACTTTTAGAGCTTCAACCAAGTCAGCATCATCAGAAAGAATACCATTCAGTTCCAGAAAGAAGTGAATAAAGATGAAAAGAATACCATTCAATACTTCTGCTAAACACCTTAAGATTTATGTAAATTATTAGAGATATAGAATTAGGAATTTTAAGCTCTAGAGTGTATTTTTTAGTTTTCTTTCTTTTGGGCCTCGACCCTCTCTATAATAAAAAAAAATGTTGAAGTTTATTAAGTTAATTCTAACATTAACCAACTAACTTGTATATTTTATTAACTCCCACAAACTCATAAAAAGAAAATACTTGATATATAAGTTTAGAGAATAAAATTAAACTAGAAACTGTATCTAAGTAGAAAAGAAATACCAGTGGCGATTGCAGAGGCAGTGTTAAGGGAAGAGAGTCCTTGAGAAGAAGAAGCTAAAACGACAGCGACGTGGACAGCCTGAGCGGACTTAGCAGCTGCAGCAACAGCCTTACCAAGGCCTTTAAAGGCGGCCGGACCAGAAGCAGAAGCTCCGAGGCCAAGCAAGGCGACTCTCTTGGATCCAATTCCAGCTGCAATTCGAAGAACCGTTGACTGTCCAACTTTTCCGGCGAAGTCCTCTACGAACGAGGCTTCAGCTAATAACCCGCCCAATTTGGAGTCCAGCGCGCTCAAAATTGGATTCTGGAATCTGGACTCGTCGTCCCTAGCTACGTCCTTTTCCGTCACGGTAACGGCTAAGAGGTCCCCTCAATATAAATGCAGAAATACATACAAACACAGCGGACGACTTGGACGACGTGGACGGCGACCGACTTGGACGAAAGCAGTTAGACGGCGAACGACGAACGGACGACGACGTGGACGACAAACACGGCGTGTCAGTTGGACGGAGTGACGAAGAACACGACGGAGGGTGTGAACGAAAGAGGTTTGACTCGGAGCGGATGAAGGACGGAGCGTCTGAGAGCGCGGCTAGGTTCGGCGAAATGTGTGAACGAAAAAGAAGGAGAATCGAAAGCTGCTGCTTTTGTTTTCCTTATCTGTTTCTTTTTCTTTTTTTTTTTTATTTTCTATTCTTTTTAATAAGACGTGGCAATAATTGAGAGGACTAGTAATGAAAAATATTTTAAATTCCTGTGTTAGAAATTTTTTTATTTTCTGTTTAATGAATTTTTTTTTAATATATATATATATATATATATATATATATATATATATATATATATATATATATATATATATATATATATATATATATATATATATATATATATATATATATAAGTTTTAGAGAAATATTAATAATGTGTTAGAAAAATTCCTGTTTAATTGAAATATATATAAGTTTTAGACTAATATATATATATAATTTTTTATTTTCTGTTTAGTTGAAATTTTTTATTTTTAAATTCCTGTGTTAGAAAAATATTTTTTTTTGTATATATTAATAATGTTTAGAGAAAAATATTTGTTTTTTAGTGTATAAGTTTTGGAGGGAAGATTGCCACCAAAAATTTGATAATTCTAAAAAAATTTATACAACATTTCAGAAATGTAGCCTTTTATTAGAACTAATGTAACAATCTAAATATGTCCCAAAAAATATTTTAGGGGACAATTGTCAAACATTGCTAAAGAAATAATATTTTAACGCTCTAAAATCGTCCCCAAAAGCAGTTAAGGGCACAATTAACAAACGTTGGCAAAAAAATAAAAGAGTATCGCTCCATAAACGTCCCCAAAAGTATTTTAGGCGACGATTATCAAGGGTTGCAAACATATTTTTGACAACAATCGTAAATCATTGCCTATATGAGTTTAAGGCAACAATTTCTACATGTTACCTAAAAAAGTGTTGCCAGAGACAACAAATGTTGTAGTGTTGGTCAATTTTATATCCTAGAGCTCATTATTTTTTGAAAATAAACTTGAAAGTGTCTACTACAACTTTGTTTCAAAGTACAAAGCTTGAAAATGCTTGGAAAGTCATTTAAGAATTGAAAAGATTATAGGTCATTTGTGAATTCTTCAAGAAAATTCCATCACCCTCCAAAGGCCATAACTCTTTCATCTTTTATGACTTTTGAGTGATCTCAATCCCACAATTCAATTTTAAGGGTATATTCCATTTCATCTTCAAGGATCAAGATCCATTTTTGAGTAGAAGGGCATATAACTTAAGAAGATTATAGGTCATTTTGAAGCTAAACACTTAGAATTTTTCTAAGTACCAAGATTCATGTGTTTTTTCCATTTTCAAACACACACAACTTTGTGCTCAATCATCCAAATGAAGTCTTTCTTGGCATATTGTAAAGTTTGTGATCTTGTCTTTCTAATACCTCAAGAACCATGCCGAAAAGCTTCCAGAGTTATTTGCACCATGGATTTGAATTTGGTACCTTGAGACTGAAGTTTCTCATAACAGTCAGAATACCAAATGCTTTATGTGACTTCTAAACATAAAATTGTTGCGCATTTTTTATCTAAACATGTTTAACAAACTTGTTAAACATTGTTTAAGCCTTAAAAAGCAGGAATTAGCTGAGTTTTGGGCAAGGTTGAGTCACACTTTTCTCATTTTCGGGCTCCACACAAATTCCCTCAGAACCTCATGATTTCACACGCTTAAGCTCACCATTCACTCCCCCTATAAATAAAGGATCACTCTCCATCTATTTCCAAAGCTTTAGACATCCATAATCACCCTACCAAAGTTCCACTCGAAGCTTGAAATTTAAAAATCCATTTCACAATTTCAAGCCTTCTCCTTTCAAATTCTCTTCTGATTCTTCTTCCTCAACTATTATACAAACTCTTCATCACCTAAACTAAGAAATTTGAGCCATAAATAAAGCTACAGAAGTTTAGTTTCAAATCTCATTTTTTGAACTTTGTTCAGGTAGTTTTCTCTACCAAATCGATCCAAACAAGTTACCATATTGTAGACGTTCTTCCTCTAAGTCTCACACTTCTTTTGGTTTTCGTTTTCATTAAGAATTGATCATTTATTTTGAAATTTAATTTTGCAATTCACATCTGTTTTTTTCCAAATCAACTAAGTTGTAGTTTAAAGAAATATTTCCCGAGGATATGGTAAGGATCGTCTGGAAAAGACGAATCCAATGATAACACTATGAGCGTCAAAAAGTTCTATTTGAAGAATCTCATAAAATCCCCATTTGCAGGCGCCTGGAGGTTGAAGATGATCTACATGTCGTTCTTCAACCAATGATAGTGTGACAATTGTTTTAATTAGGTTGGCTCGGTTTAAACTGGATTTAGTGTGTTTCTCACTAGTGACCATAACATGCACAATGCGCCAGGTCCCTTTGATATGATTACTAACGCATTTTGACATTGATCAGATGGTCCACATTTTTTTTGTTTTATTTTATATTTTCTGATTTTAATTGAATATTCAGCGTGTTATTCATTAATGTCCATATCGTGCACAACACGTGAGGTCCCTTATATCTGCTTACTAACGCATTTTGACATTGAATAGATGGTCCACATTTTTTAGCTTTATTTTATTTTTTGATTTTTTTTGTTTTAATTGTTTTAAACTTCAAAAATTCATAAAAAATTTATTCCTGATTCAAAAATTATGAAAAAGTTATCAAAAATACTTTTTATTTTTTTCTTTCTGATTTTTATTTTTACATAATTTTATTTTATGATTTGGTATTTTCTATGATTTTTCTCATCTTTTGATTTTTTTAAATTGTTTAAATATTCTTTTTAGTCTTTTAAAATTCTGAAAAAAATATGGAAGGATCCAATGACTTTCTTTTAAATATTGGTGACCTTATTTGTTTTTTATTTCTCATTTTTTGTGGTTTTTGTGATTTTTGGGTTGTTTTACATATTTATTTATATTCTAAAAATAGTTTATGACTTTTAAAAATACTAAAAAAAATTGTCAACACTTGTTGACCTCTATTTGACTATTGGCAATTTTTTTGGATTTTTATTCGGTGTTTTTTATATCTTTTGTGTATTTCATCAATAAATTCCAATTAAATAACCATTTTAAGTCATTTTTATATTTTATTTTAATGGATCTTTATTTATTTGATTTGGTTCTGACTTGTTGATACTTAAAGACTTCTTGAGTCATAAATTTCCTCAACATCAATGGAACTTGTGTGTTGATAGGTCAAAGGACCAAGTCTACCAAGATGGTTGATTGACTTTGATGAAGTTAGACCTAGTTGTGATTCATCTTAGGCATTGGTTACACTGTGACTTCCCCTTTTCCCTTTCATCTTATCCCCTTCTTCTTTTTCTATTTGAATGGTTCTAAGTGGCCCGAATTTCATGTTTGCAAGCCTATGTATGGTTAAGTCTTGAGCTATGGTGAATAACCTTGAAAGCTCATTGTTAGGAGGCTTTGATTCTATCAATCCTCTAACGAGCCTTCATCAATTTTGACTTAGGCTCAATGTTCAAATCATTATGAATCATTCATCTAAAAAATATTCTCAACTATTAACTATTAACTTCTAACTAACAACTATTAACAACTGACTTTACTTTATGTGTTTACTTTATGAATTTATTTTAGAACTTTATTTTATGTCATTTATCTTTAAGCATTTACATCTAATGTTATTTTCCTTTTTACTCACTTGAGCATTTATTTTCTATCATTTTTATCTTTGCTTGCTTGAGCATTTATTTTTCTGTCATTTTTATCTTTGCTCACTTGAGCTTTCTCTTATTTTTTTAAAATAAAATTAATAATCAACTTGGACATTAAAAGCTTTAAGGTTACTTGGATTACCTGGTTACTACCCCTGGCACTTTAGAGTTCTGGATTCCTGAGATTAAGGATTATAAGCTCTAAGGCCTTGAAACTCTATGATCTCTGATATTTTTTGTGAAGTTATTTTGAAGTCCTTGGAGTAAACCAAGGTATTGGTTTAGGTTTTTTATGTGTGCGGGTTATTCTGATTTCCATGCTTTGTTTGTGATTTGGAATTCCTCTGTATACAATTTTTACTATGGCCAATTTTTTTTGAAGACTTTGCTTGGTTCTTAATTCATCTGAAGCTTGGTATTCATCTGAGGTTTAGAATTACGTTTGCTTAATTTTAATTCAAAAGTTGAGAATTCCGCATTGACTTCTTTATGTCAAGTGTTGACTTCTCATTGGTTAGAGCATTCTTTTCCTTAGCTTTTACTTTGTATACATAGGATAATCTCTTCATCTCCTCCGGTTTTCTTTAATTTTCAAATATTCTCCCCCTTTTCAAAACTCTTCTTGTTTTTTTTAAACTTGAACCGTTTTTATAATAACCTTGGACTTAGGTCCATGCATTTTCAAAATACTTTTCCTTAATCAAGCCTTTAATCAATTTAATCATACTTTGACTTCTTTTTCAAGACTAAAAGTCACTAACCTCACTCAAACCATTTTTCCACTTTGGCTTTTTATTTTAAAACTTTTTTCAAAGATTAGACTCTTGTTGATTCTTGTAGTGATGCAAGCTACTATACTTCTACAATATATAGTAAAGTGAGCCATTTTTCAGTTGGGTGTTGAGTGATGGATTTTAAATCCAAGTTATATCCTCCACTTTGAGATGATGCAAATGCTCCTTTCTCATAGTTTTGGGTAGTAAGTATGTATTCTACTCGGATATGATGAGATGTCTCTTCTCTTAAAATTAACCAACACACATAATCTTTTCAAAAAATTTAAGGTGAACTACGAGTACACTGATTCCATATTCCACGAAAGGTGGTACGTAGGCACTACAGGTTCGAAATCGCGGCGGGTGCAAAAATTGTAAAAAATACTTCTTTTCTCATCTCTCGAATCTTATTTTTGTATATACCTTTTATAGCCAAAATACATAAATTTTCAAAGAGGCTCCTGTGGAGCACCGTAGATGTTTAGGGTGCTAATACCTTCCCTTTACATAACCAACCCCCGTACCTAGATTCTCTCTTTTAATTTAGGTTTTGTTCGCTATTTTCCCAGTCCTTTAGATAAAATAAAAGTGTAGTGACGATTTAATTGATTTTTGAGAGTTAATTCAATCAAATGGCTTAGTCTCAACATTTCCGCTACTATAGAAAACTGGCGACTTCAGTGGGGATTTCACTAAGTGGGTTGAGCCTATCTTTGTTTATTTGTGTATGTGCTATTATTTGTTGTATATATGCATGCTTGTCTGGATTTTTCTAGTTTTCAGAGGGCTTGGTGATCTCTTATAAGTCTTATACCTGGACTTGGGCAAACTTAAGATATGATGGGTGGTATAGTCATGTTAACTTTGAGGGAGTAATCCTTAAAAAAGGAGACATGAGATCCCCCACTCAGTGGAGGCCCCTTTGACTGTAGTATTTATTTAACGAGCAATCAGGAAGACATTTCTACTTTCGACCTAGGAGCCCGAGAAGCTGATAAGCCGTAGAACCCTTAACCCATCTTGGCCTTTTAGGTGTAGTGCGAAGACTATGACGGAGAAATCTGGAAATAGTTTTCACGCGATGCTGCACTTAGACGAGTTTCTCTTGAGAATATTTCTAATTACCGAGCTAACCGGGACATTGGTAAATATCCAAAGGAGGACTGTAGACTCTGGTATTTCCTTAGAATCTTATTCGGCATGTGATAAACTCGTAGTCCTTACCTTATGGATAATACCGTTGACTTCATACTCGTGACGTCGAACATATGAACCCCCCCATGTTTGTGATCTTATGTGTGATTATTGCATCATCATGCATTCATGCACCCATGAGCATTCTTTAAACAATTTTTCAAGGAATTTAAGGTTGACCTTTGAAAATGTCTCAGGCACTCTTTTGACCATGGATTTTGAAAGGAGAAAGACTCGAAAGTACAATTTCAGGGATCCTAAGATAGAGGAACTGAGGAGTTTAGTTTCTAAGATTGAGAGTCCTACAGATTTTCGAAAGAGGTATGTGGCCATCAGGCCTCTTATGAAGCTCAAGATGAAGGAGTGTATTCTTACTACGTTGGTCCAGTTCTATGATCCATTATACCAATGTTTCACTTTTCCTGACTATCAGCTGATGCCCATATTGGAAGAGTATTCTTATTTACTTGGTCTACCTATTACTAATCATGTTCCTTTATCCGATTTAGAAAGAGAGCCTAAGTCTCATGAGATTGCAGCAGTTACTCACTTGAGGAAGTCTGAGATAGAGGATAACATGACTACCAAAGGAGGAATCAGAGGTTTACCTTTTCAGTTTTTGTTGGAGAAATCTCGTTACTTTTCTAAGATGAAGAGTACAGTTTTCTTAGAGGCTATCTTTGCTTTGCCTGCCTATGGGTTTTTCTTGTTTCCTAACTGTGATACGGTTGGAAAGAACTGACTATTTTTTGGAATGCTGGTTTGCGTTTTGCGTTTGTTTTTGAAAAATGTCGCGGTAAGCAAGAGTCACCACCGAATTTTATTTTATCCAACAAGGAAAGGAAAAAAGCACAGAAAAATTCCTTTTTCGAGATATTTCTCGGGTTCAGGGGGTAGATTATAGAAAGGGAAGGTATTAGCACGCTTTCTATCCGTGGTTATCCACGGGCTCTTAGGTACTTGCTCATATTGTTTTCAAAATTATTTTCTTTGTACTTGTGGGTTTGAAAAAGTTTTTGTTTTGAAACTTCACTAGTGCAGAAATGACTTTTTACATCGGGTAAAATTGACTTTTTACATCGGTTTTGGATCCGATGTAAAGTCAGGTGATATAGTAAATCAGGGACTTTTTACATCGGTTCTGGGACCGATGTAAAAAGTCCCTTTTTTACATCGGTTATAATATCAGAACCGATGTAATAACCTGTTATTATGCACATTTTTTAAAAAATTGATCCAGTTTTTTACATTGGTTGGAAGTAATACCCGATGTAAAAAGTACCCTTTTTACATCGGTTATAATATATGAACCGATGTAAAAAACAATTATTATGCACATTTTTTTAAAAAATTGATCCAGTTTTTTACATCGGTTGGAAGTAATACCCGATGTAAAAAGTCCAAGTCTAAGGTTTCTCGACTCTTTGCCAAAATTTGGAAACAAAGAATCTATTTTCTTCCATTGCAAAGAATCAGCTACATGACGAATTTGTCCATCATATTTTCTTTCTTCTGCATGCCATCTAAGATTCTTTGCGTCATCTGCATTGGCGAATAATCTCTTGAACCTTGAAATTATTGGTAGGTACCATACCACTTTCGCAGGAGGACCCTTTTTTACCACCTCATCATCAATTGACTCACCATCTTTCTTTTTGTAGCGTGAAGCCTTACACTTTGGACAATGATTATACTTTTCATACTCTTTTCTGTATAATATGCAATCATTAGGGCATGCGTGTATCTTTTCATACTCCAAACCCATTGGACACAATATTTTCTTCGCCTCGTAATAACGACTTGGCATTACATTACCTTCTGGAAGCATTTCGGTCAACAATTCAAGTAACTCGGTAAAACTTTTGTCAGTCCACCCATTCTTTGCCTTCAGATTAAATAATTTTAACACGGCTGACAGACGTGTAAATTTTTTGCATCCCGGGTACAATGGTTTATCCTTGTCATTGCATATAGTATCATACGTATGTGCCCTCTTAAATGAATCTTGTCCAATATCACGCATCATGTCTTCTAGATGATCATCCATTTCTACACTAACACCATCTCTTTGAGACACGTTTGACTTTGCTACTACTTCACCGTGCCATATCCATTTTGTATAACTTTGACAAATCCCTACACAAATTAGATGATCCATGATTTCTTTCTTACTACGTTTTGGTTCTTTATTTGCACAACGAATACATGGACAGAGAAAAAGCGTAGGAAGACTTTTGTCAGCATTACTTTCAGCAAACTGTAGAAATTCCATCACTCCATGTTCGTACTCGTCACTTAATCGATTAGCTCTCATCCAACTACGATCCATAACTATGTTCACACGGAGGAAGGTCTGACGAACGGTGTGTCCGCGGCTGTGCTACTTCACGGAGATTCCGAGATTGCAAGTTGCGCTGCTTCGCGGAGAAAGACAAATAGAATCAAATTTCAATGGCAAGGTGATAACTCTATTAACAATTTATTACTAATTGTTATTATTTTTACACTTTGCACCACTAATACATAACTGATTCTCACTGGTTTCCTTTTCTAATAATTTCAAAACGATCACCATATATTCAATTTTTGTCTCAGAACCTGTAAATACTTAATAATATAACAATCTTCATGTTTCACTATCACCATCATGATCATGAAATTTCACACTGCACAAACACTAACATACACCATATTTTCTTGAAACAAGTAGCTTGTTGCATTAGTTAAAGTTACTAAGTTTAGTATCTATAAACATGTATAACTTTATCTTAAGGAAGAACCATAGAAATTTAAACTATCGTATACTAGCCAACTGCATAATATTGATATGTAATGTAACATAGCGTAAATGCATAAAAATGCTGAAATTGTAATGAAAAAGAAAATGCAAAAAAAAAAAAAGAAATAGAATTAGAACGAACCCCAGAATGATTTGCAGAATGATTTGCAGAAGACGGGACTGATGAATCGGCGACGAGGAAGCAGTAGAATGGGTGTTGGAGGCGGTATGCGTCGCGGAAGTGGTGTTGGCGGTGACGGTGTAGGCAGCGACAACTATTTAAAATTGTTATCGCAAAATAAAAATTGATTAAAACATGAACAAACCCCCACAAGCAAGAATAACATATTAACATGATAATGACATTGAAACTTCAACCAAATTAAAATCAAGTGAACATATTATTAAAATCTCATTCAAATTTAAAACAAGCATCACCTATAAACTCTAAGTCATACCTATAACCATATTGAATTTACAACACAGTACCATAAAATTTTTGAAGGACCATAAACTCTAAGTCATAATTATAGCCATGTTGAATTTACAACACAGTACTACCTTAAACTAATGACCATAAACTCTAAGTTATACTTATATTTCAATTCTAAGTAGCAATACAGTACCTTAAATTGTAAGCATAAGCCATAAATTCTAAATACTATTAGTTCTAACTTCTTAAGCTATGAATTATGTCATACCATTACCAGTAATATAAATAGTTTACAGAATTGGACAAAAATTGTCATACCAGTAGCATAAAAAATTGTCATACCAATAGCATAAAAATTTCTAGCAGTAGAATGAAAATTTGTCATACCAGAATAAAAACTTGCAGCAACAATAGTACCATAAATAGTCATTACAGAGAAAAGAATGGGAAAATAAAAGAGATCAAACTTTTCACAAATACTCACATGTTTCATAAAAGGGAAAGTAAATTTGAAGAAGGGGAAAAAAATTCACAAAACCCTAAAATCAAATTTTCAAATTGATTACCTAAATGATTGTTTGATTGATGTTGAAGGCTGCAAAATCGGTTTAATGTAACTATAGCTATGTAAAAAAAATTGGAAATTCAAGGTTTGACAAAACTCTACCAGTGAAGTTTGTTGAACAGAGGATGGGAAAGATGAAGGATGTGGCTGGAATGAAGTGATAGTGGGGGTGAAGTGCAGGAGTCGTAAGGTGGGTGTCAGCGGAGCAGCGTAGCACGGAGGACGGTGTGAAGGCTGCCGCGTGCGTGGGGGTATAAGGGCGGCGCGGTGTGAAGGGGCGGCCGGAGGCAGTAGCGGCGAATCGTCGGCGAAGAACGGGTCGTGACAGTCGGCGGAAGCGGGTCGTGACAGTAGGCGGAGGAAAATCGTCGAAAATGGGTCGTGACAGTCGGAAATGGGTCGGCGAAAATGGGAGGGATGAAGCGGCGGTCGGCGAAAATGGGTCTGAAAATGGCTAATGAACAGTTTTTTGGAATAAAAGAAAATTCTGTTTATAAGTTTTTACATCGGTGGAATATTTGACCGATATAAGGGGACGTCTTTTACATCGGTGGAAACTTCCACCGAAATAATAGGTCTTTTTTTTTTTTAAATAATGACTAGGCTTTTACATCGGTGGAAACTTCCACCGATTTAATATGTTTTTTTTTTTTTTTTTAAAATAATTCTTAGGCTTTTACATCGGTGGGAACTTCCACCGATTTAATAGGTTTTTTTTTTTTTTTAAATTATTCTTAGGCTTTTACATCGGTGGAGTATTTCACCGATTTAATATGTTTTTTTTTTTTTTTTAAAAATAATTCTTAGGCTTTTACATCGGTGGGAACTTCCACCGATTTAATAGGTTTTTTTTTTTTTAAATTATTCTTAGGCTTTTACATCGGTGGAATATTTCACCGATTTAATATGTTTTTTTTTTTTTTTTTTCCACGTTTTTATTAATTTTCAATATAATTTATATATTAATTCAAAGAATCATTTTTTACATCGGTTTGTCTTTAGACCGATGTAATAGCTTTCTTATATTTTTTTTAACTTTTTTGTCACCTTGTTTCTTATTTACAAAAATGCCACCGTGTTTTTTTTCTGGAAATCTTTTACATCGGTGGATGAGATTACCCGATGTAATAGGTGACGAAAAAAATTTTTTCCCTTATTTTTTATATCATTGGAAATAAATACCTGATGTAAAAAGTTTGTTAACTGTATTTTTTACATCACCTATTTTGATACCCGATGTAAAAACCTTTTCTCAAATGTCTTTTTTTTAGTAGTGCTTCGATTTAACTCCTGCTTCTGTCCTCAAGAGCGTAATGAAGTGTTTTGAAAACTTTATTTGAAAAGTGTAAGTGTGAAAAAGATTTTGTTTTTTGAAAGAGCAAGTACTTAAGAACCATCTACCTACTCGAAAAAGGAATCGTTGCTATCTTCCTTTAGACAATGCTATCCCACTATTGATGAGTAGGTAGCACCGTCGTTGGAGTTTAAGGGTCAATTCGAATTTAGGGGGCTTACGGTCACTAAAGCAATGTTAGGACGCCTTAGCGGTAATCCTAATGTCATAGATCATTTGTTTTGAGGCAACAATATCTGAGGCAACCATTTTGAGGCGACTATGATCTTTAGACAAGAGGACGACCTCTAAAGTGGCCTATACTCAATGACCGCGTACGAAGGCAACCAAGTGGGGTGTACCCTAAGAGTGCGCATGTGCGAGTGTGTTGTTTTCAGTTATTTTGTCTTTGTACATGTGAAGGGTTATCTAAGTTGATTTTAGGTTAAAACATTCATTCTTGTCATGCGTCCCTATTATCAAACATCTAGCAGTTATATTTTGCGGAAAATAAATTGCGGAAATTAAATTACAAGGCATCGGGTATTTACATCGCCAAAAGAAACCCTTTGAAATTTAAATGCGGAAAATAAATAAAGCGATAAAAATAGTCCTAATTATCTATTACATTCTCGGAGCAAATACAATATGATATAAACTAGATCGCGTGCGGGAAATTAAATCGAATGCGAGGTAGGGTTTTGACCCTTTGTTATTTAAAGAAAATATTTTTTTTGTTTGTTTTTTTGAATTTTAAGAAATAAACTATCATAAATTAATTATTAAATTAAATTAATTAAACCAATTAATAAAATAAATATTTTTTGGGTTTTTGGTATTTAAAGAAATAAAAATAAATTTAATCAATGTTAATAAAAACCTAATAGTGTCTAAGTTAATTTTAATTATTTTACAAAATATATTAAAGTTATCCTAATTAAAACTAAATTAATATAATTAGTATTTATTAATAAAAATTAACATTTGATTTTAATGAAGAAAAATATTTTTTGGTTTTATTTTTATAAAGAAAAAATTTGATTGGTTAATTGATTAAATAAAAATAATAATAATAATAAAACAAATAAAACAAAATAAAAGAAATAGAGAGAGATAGGAGGTTTGGTCCTGATTTGGAGGTTTGATTAGCAATTCTGTGGCCCAAATGAGCTGGCCCTGTGTTGACTTTCCTGGATTCCATGCGTGCTGGTTGACTTGGTCCACGATGGACCATCATCTCTGGCCTATGGCCATCTGTCCATTGAACGTTTAAGGGTGCATGATAGACCTCACGCTTGGATCAACACATGATAACCTGTGGAAAAATAACAAATGCAAATTGGGGGGGACCTGGGATTCGAACCCAGGTCCTGATGGGTTTTGTATGCACTCCACTACCACTGCTCCACTTTGTTCTATTTGTCAATATATTAAGTAATAATAATAATAAGAGATAATGGATCAATATGCCAGAAAAATAAAAACGGGCGCGCGTGTTTGAAAGGGACCAATCAGAGGGAGACACACCATCGTCCCTTACCTCCAGCCCTGTAACTTTACCTGCGGATTTAGATTCATAGCTAAATGCGTAGGTCACTCCTAAAACTCATCTCAGGCCATATAAACTCCTCCCAAGACCATGGTTGCGTTCGTCTTTCTCTTCCGGTCATGTCCATGGCCATTAATGGGGCTAATTTTACCTGTAAGAAAAACGCCCAAAAACAAACCACAAAACCCTAGATACGATACTTGGCTCTATAGGTCAGATAAACAAAATTGGGTAATACATAAAGCTTGGAAATTTGATGAGGATTATGAATATGCCAATAGTTTATACAAAAGGTGCAGGAATAAAGATTCACGAATTCAAATGCAGAGCAGTTTTTTATGACACTTATAGTGAGTTTGAGCGTGTATGGAGGCTTGCTAGGGATTGGTTCTGACTCGGTGAACCTCCAACAATCGATTGGTATTGAGTTTTGCTTCTTAAAATGCCTTAAGTGTCAATTCGAACTCAAGCTTTTTCACACTTTTTTCAAGTTTTGTTTTGAGTGTTCTTGCAGCCTCTAACCCTTGTAATCGTGCCTTAAGCTTCCTTATGTATGATAGAATGTATTAGGTTAACAAATATGCCTTGAATCTTTGCACATCAATGCCATGGGATTTGATTTGATTCACCATTACTAAACCTTCCAAAATTGGCAAAACTCAATCTTTTTGCACATGGAATGCTTGATACGAGTTTGATACCCTTGATGATGATGATTCAGTCCTGAAATAACCAAAAAGATATCAAGCAATCAATATTTGGATTTTATTTGATTTAATTTGATTAAAAATGAAATAATTCAATAAAAATCAAATAAAATAATAAAATTGATAAATGGACACAAGGCTGAAGCTAGCGCACGTGTGCAATGTGGAAAGTTCAAATCAAGTGGAAAAGAATGGGCTCATTTGACAAAATTTAAAGTTTTGGGGATAGTTGACTTTTGGCAATTTTGCAAAAATTCCCAACTTCAACAATGCATAACTTCTTCAATTTTGAACTTTTGGAAAACCAGCATTCCGAAAAACAGTCAGTTCTTTCCCACCGTAGCATAGAACTCCACTAGGATGTGGGAAAGAACTGACTGTTTTTTGGAATGCTGGTTTGCATTTTGCATTTTGTATTTGCAAAATGTCGCGGTAAGCAAGAGTCGCCACCGAGTTTTATTTTATCCAACAAGGAAAGGAAAAAAGTACAGAAGAATTCCTTTTTCGAGATATTTCTCGGGCTCGGGGGGTAGATTATAGAAAGGGAAGGTGTTATTTGGACTCTTTGAGCAATTGACTGAGCAAACTTCCTCTGCGAGGCTTGAAATTTTGAGGTCATTTGGACTCAAATCTCTTGATGCAACACAAAACCCTAATTTGGGGTTGACTGCCCAAGGAGATAGCTTGATTGTCCAACTCTTGTGCAATCTTGAGCCACTTGGAGATTTTTCTTGCCATGTTTTGAGAAATATGAGAGGGAAAATTTTGGGGTACAACACTAACGTCGACAAGTTTATGGATGTTAATGCCATTAGGATCTTTCTGATTGGGAATCCAGTCCCTACGCTGCAAGGAGATACCTATTATTCCATCTATCTTCAGAATTTCTACCAAGAAAGGATGATCATCTTTTGCACACTGTTGTTACATCAATTGTTTATTTCTCACTTACCCCAATCTGGTACTTTTTGGGATATCAAGAAGGAGCTGCAAGTTGGCACCGATCGGAGGAAAAGAGAACAAGCAGTTGAAGGCTCAGATTTCCAGACTCAAGGGAAATCATCAATGTGAATAGAGATCTTCATCAGCTTTGGATCCTTAGGACTTTTAGATTCTATCTTTATTCTCTTGTACTTAGGATTATTGAAACTTGTACTAAAAGTTGTAATCCCTTCTAAAAGTTATTATTAAAATGATATTATTTAGTTATTCCAAATGTGTCATTCCTTTAATATTTGAAATTGTTTATAATTCTTTAAGTTCCTTGAATAAACAAAAATAAATCATGTGCATTGCATATCATGCATCATTTTGCATATTTCTTCGCATTCCTGTTCATTCCCATTGTGAACGATGATCAAGCTTTGTTGATATCTCATTTGTCTTCCTTTAGCATTATAGAAGTTGATGAAGCCAATGTTGGGACTCAATTCCATGCTTTGTCAATTTGTACTTTAAGGAAGAATGAGGATTTTACCACTTCGTTTAAGGATGCGCAACAAGTTATGCAGAAGGGCCCTAGTAATGTGTGAGGGAATGTTATTGATCCCACTGTGAACAAGAATAGGACTGGTTTGGGTTTCTCCCTAAAGAATGGTAGAAGTGAAGTTTTGAAGTTGAAGTCTGCCTTCAACAAATATCAGGACATCTTTCACAGCGTATGGTACCTCCATCCAACTACTCCAAAGGTCAACGCCATCCTTGAGGATTAGCCAGAGCTTGAGATGCTAAACTTTGTGACACACGGAGTGAGAGTCCAAAATTGGATTGCTGTTGATGTTCCTACTTGAATTCACATTTCAAATTAATTTGTTTTTGCTGGTCTTTTCAAAATCCTTTCACTCTGCCCAAGGTGAAAGCGATTTTGTATGGGCGTGTCTTTTGTTTTGGATTTTCAAATCATTAATAAAAGTTGTTTTTGATTTATAATTGTGTTTTTATTTTTTTTTATTTTTGTTGGAAAATGATAATTAGAAAAAAAACCTTTTGCAATAAATAATAAGTGTAAATAAATATGCATAACCACTTGTTACATACTGTTTCTAAAATCAAGCATAATCATATGTGCAGATTAGTTAAAAAACCTGTGGAATACCATGACTCTACACCTTCTCTAAACTTTGAAAATCCTATGTATGTGCCTGAAAAATAAAAATATGATGAGATCCCAGAAGAGATTTCTCGGTTGCTTGAGTGCGAGGAGAATACCATCCAGTTGTACAAAGAGCCGTTGTTGGGTTCAGAGGAAAATTTTAAAGAAGTTAAGATTGGGGCACTACTTGATCTTGATTTGAAGAGTAAGCTGGTTGAATTTAAAAAGAGTATGGGGATGTATTTTCTTGGTCTTACCAAGATATTCCTGGATTGGATATCGACATTGTGGAGCATCATTTGGCACTGAAGCCAGAATGTCCGCCTATCAAACATAAGTTGTAAAGAACTCATCCCAATATGGTAGTGAAGATTAAACAAGAAGTCTTGAACCAAATCGATACTGGTTTTCTTGTGATATCAGTGTATCCTCAATTGATTGTTAATATTGTGCTAGTACCAAAGAAAGACGGAAAGGTCCATTTGTGCATTTATTATATAAATTTAAATAAAGCGAGTCCAAAAGATGATTTCCCATTACCATACATTGATATATTGGTAGATAACACATCAAAATTTAAAGTGTTCTCGTTCATGGATGGATTTTCCGGATATAATCAAATTAAGATGCCTCCTAAGGACATGGAAAAAATAATGTTTATCATGCCCTGGGGAATATTCAGTTATAGAGTGATGCCCTTCGGGTTGAAGAACGTCGATGCAATATACTAGAGGGTTATGAAAACCCTAGTCCATGATCTGATGCATAAGGAAATTTAAGTATATATTGATGATATGATCGCCAAATCTCAGACTGAAGAAGGGAATTTGGAAGACTTATTAAAGCTGTTTCAACATTTGAGGAAGTACCGTCTCCGCTTGAATCCAAATAAATGTACTTTTGGTGTTCGTTCTGGAAAGTTGCTAGGTTTCATTGTCAGCCAAAAAGGAATTGAAGTCGATCCTGATAAAGTAAGGGAAATTAAGAAATGCTTGCACGAAGAACTGAAAATCAAGTTAGAGGCTTCCTTTGGCGTTTGAATTACATCTCCAGGTTTATTTCCCGTATGAATGCAACATGTGAACCAATCTTCAAGCTTCTGAAGAAAGATCAAGGTTGTGTATGGACGAAATATTTTCAAAATGCATTTGAAAGCATTAAAGAATGTCTTCTTGAGCCTCCTATTTTGCTCCCTCCTGTTGAAGAAAGACCATTGATTATGTATATGTTTGTGTTGGATAATTCTATGGATTGTATTTTGGGACAACAAGATGAAATAGGAAGAAAAGAATATGCCATTTATTATCTGAGAAAGAAGTTTATTGAATATGAATCACAATATTCTATGCTTGAAAAGACATGTTGTGCATTGGCTTGGGCCTCAAAGTTTCTGCGACAATATATGTTGAATCATACTACTTGGCTGATATCCAAAATGAATCCAATTAAGAATATCTTTGAAAAACCCACCCTTACCGAAAGAATTATGATGGGAAAAATATAAAGTATATTATTTTGTCTCTTATAATAATAGTGAAATTCCCTGAATGTCGATCACAAGGACTACGTGCAATTATCAATTTCAATTCATAGTTCAATTAAAACAAAAACTTAATTTGGGGTTCGGGTTTTGAAATTGTCACTTAACAAATAAAAGAAATATAAATTGGATTTTTATAATTTTAGGAGCATGTTAGGGGTAGGTGTGTGATTTGAACCTGTAATAATCTTTACTCTTGATCTCTTCAACAAGTTCATTACCTTCAACTACCGAATCTTTAGTTTGTTTTCTCCTAAGTCCTTAGTGAGAAAACCATTAACCATTCATCCTAAATCCTAAGTCCTTAGAGATATCTAATGGAGTCAAGTATTTATATTATAAAGATTTTCCCGATGACCTATATGGTATCCCTAGTCCTAGGTGATATCTACTATAGTCTAATTGTTCAAAAACCTTAACAATGGCGGTCCAACCATAATTGTTAACCGTGAATCAATCCCTGTTTGTCTGATAGGAAAGGAATAAGAACATTGAACAATTAAATCGAAAGGAAACTATTGTATCAAAATCAAGAATTCACAATTAATACATTTGCAAATCAGGTACATCCATAGCATTGGGGGGTTTAGCCTCTCATAGTATTAAAAATAAAATCAATAATAAAATTAGACATTATAAAAGGTAAGGATTCTTTGATCTTAAATTGCTATCGCTGATGAAGGAATCTTCGTCTATAAATCTCTTGAAAGCACCCACCTTTATAGTTCCTAATCTTCTCTAATCAAAAGTCCCTGTTTTCATCGTGGAAACTTCTCTTAGTAGCAACAACTCATTTAGGTCGATTGGAAGTACCCAAAATTCCCCACAACATAACAAATGAAAAAAATAACCCGAAATACTGAAATCAATGTGGCAACCCAACACAGGTCGTGTCAGGCAACACGGGTGCCCGTGTTGGGTCTCTGGGAATTTCTCTTTTATTTTCTGCTACAGATCTTCTGACACGGGCGCCCGTGTCAACCCCCTGGCCTCCCATTTCCTTTATCTCATCCTAGCCTTTATCATGACACGGCCCGTGTCAGGGGACACGGGTGGTCATGTCAGGGGACACGGGTGGCCGTGTCAGGTCTCCTGTAGGTGGATATTTGTATTTCTTCTAAAACTCCGAGTTTTACACCGATTTGTGCCGATTTATCCTTTTGAACCTGAAAACACTAAAACACAAAACAAAAGCATAATATGCGATAAAACAAAATAAAACCTCGACAAGAAATAGAAACGATAACTAAAATAATGCTTAATATATGTGTAAAACCACTTATCAAACTCCCCCAATCTTAAATCATTTCTTGACCTCAAACAACTATTACAAGAACTCATTAAAATCACAACAGCCCAATACTCATACGTGAGACATCTGTTATAATTGATCAAAAGGTAGTCTATTTGGGTACCTAAACTCATAGCCTTTAGTTTTTTCTCTACTTTAACGACAATTTGATCTTCATTCTTCACCCCTTGATTTGCAAGTTTCAAGTCAATCACTCCCTCTGGTTTACTCACACTTCGGTCATATAATTCCAGGTGTTCATTTGCAGTAATGGCTTCAATGATCTTCTTAATAACAATGGTTGTTATAAAATTGGATGAGCCAATGGCAGCTGTATCGATAAGCTTCTTTATCTTCATTTTGAGTCCATTCACAAACATCTGCATTTGCTCAGTTTGCCCCTCATTCTTCAAAGTAGCACTCATGGTGAGGAATCTCTGCAAATGCTTATTGGCATCTTCATTGATCTTCCCAGTGAAAAATATGTTCTCGAGTTGGCGGATGGTTGAAGGATTTAGTTGAAAATCTGCAACATTGATCGATTATTTCACAATTGTCAACCGACCTGCTGGAGCATTTGCTCCTCCTTAATCTCCAAGAAGTTTCTCTGGTGGTGGTGGGTTTTCACCCATAGTTTTTGGTTCTAATTCTGAACCTGAGTCTGTATATCAAAATGAAATTCAACTTGGGGTTTTCCTCGCATGCAAAGTGTTGTAATTGGTTTAAAAACGAGAGTCACCACCCTTAATTTTTATTCTAAGGAAGGGAATATAAAGGTTAACCCTAAAATTTAGAGATTCTAGTTTCTGGACTCGTTCTTAGATAAAGGGAAGGTGTTAGGCACCCCTAATCTACCTTGTTCACAAGGATACTAGGGTTAGAAGCACAATCTTTAAGAAATAGGGTTTTAGTTTTTATTAGGGGAACTCTCCATGATTTTAGTCATATGCCTACGTATCCTCTTATGAGGAATCAGAGTCCCAATTTGTAGTTCGCAGTTGATTGGTGTTTTTTATGGATTACTAAGATATTTGAATTCGCCTTGTACTAAGTCTGGGTGGGAGAATATCGGAGTTTGTTAGACGTAGTGCGCAGTCGATTAAAATATTCTCCTAATTCTTTTTGAAAATCGATTATTGAATTTAATTACTTATGAAAAATAGTTTATTGTTGGTTATCTATTTTCAATTATATGATACAATATGAAAATAAATTTGAATAAGGAATATGTAAATAAATAAAAAAGAGGTTAGTATTTTTAGAAAAGTTTAATTAATAAATGAATATTATAATTTATAAAAAAAATTAAATATTTAAATAATAAAAAATTCGAATTATTTATTAATTATATTAAAAGATAATTTTTATAAAAAAAATAAATAGTAATCATTAGAAATAAAATATTTAAATTTAAACAAAAACGCAGGGGGTGCAAAATGTATTGAGATAGTAAAAACTGGGGATGTTAACAACATGGGCCGAAATCTAGATATTGGATTTGGCCCAGCAGCGCAGGGGGTGCCAAAATTGGCCTAGCAACAAAAAAAACAAGGTGTGGATAGTATGGGCTTAGGCCCAAGAATCGTTTTGAGAAGCCTAAGAGATTAAGGGTGTGTTTGGCAACGTGCGCGAGGGTGTATACGTTTCATAGGGGATTTCTAGATGTCGATCGTGCGATGGTGATCACATGGCTAGAGGAATGAGGGTGTATGGTACAAGTTCATGGGCACACGGGAGATCACGTGGCCAGATGTTGGCCACATGTCTCTCATGAGAAGCGACGAAGGGATTATAATTGATTCATTCTTTTATGTTTTTGTTTCATTATCACCTTTTTCTCTCAGACTCCATCATTCTCTCTCCTATTTGTTTTCTTCTTAACAATAGAAAACAACAACAAACCCAGAAAACCGGAGGTGACACTAATCCTAACCCCAGTCCCGGCTGCGCCAAACCAAACCCAACCCCCAATCGTAAATCCAGACCAATCAAACCCAAATAAACCCCAAAAGCTAAGTTCAAATTTTTACCTTTGATCATGATTTCTTTGAGTCTCTCAGAGTTCAACCCTTATGATATCCTCTTCTTCATGCAGGTAATGGTTGATGGGGATAATGGCGACGATGGAAGATTTGAGCGACGAAGGATGGAGAATTTAGGGTTTCAGATGTTGAAACCCTAAATCAATGTGAAGAGGAAGCGCTTCTTAATTGAAAAGTTTTCGGTCCTCCTTACAATTCTCTAAGGTTTGTTATTTATAGATTTTTTTAGGATTTTAGATTATGAAACCTTGTTGTAAATTAACGTTATAGATTGCTGATTGAGAAGAGATTAGGGAGAATTGATTTAGATTCGTAGATTAGAGATTGAAATTGATACAATTTATGTAATATGATTGATTGTTTTAGATTTGATACAATTTTGGTCTGAGATTCATTTTGATTAGCTTTCTACATTTTGATTATATTCTGCAATATGGAGATTAGATTTAGTTTCTGCCATTTTACGCTTCTGCATTTTTTGGGGCTTAGAATGCTATGTTTTATGGGCTTAATGAGAAGGATGGTGGACATGGAAATGGCCCGGCAATGCTGGGTACTGCATTAGGGTTTGAAACCCTTTGTTGACTTAGTCAACGATCCCCAAGAACA